CCTCGGCTCGTGTAAGCACTACCTAGCAACAACTAAAACATCGGTGCGTTATCAACTTTGTTCTCATCCTATGTCGGAGTTTCCCTTTGTTCAGTGTCGACGACGGAGCGGGAGTTGCGATTCCGGAGTAATGACAGATCTCAATATGAGTATGGTCATTCTCCTTTATTTACACTTATAACAGGGCTTATATAGTTAACTGCTATGGACACGCGCTACCTGCAGCTTGCAGATAGGTTACAGCCTTGTGTTCACGCGCATCTATGCTCTAGCAGATTGGCCCGTTCTTTCTGATCATGCGAAATGCCTTCATGGTCTTTATCTTGTTTTTCTCCTTTCAACTGCACATTCCTTTCTCCGTTATTTACTGCTTAAGTGCCTTGTCATGCCAGGTGGTGCAGTGTTTGCTCATTAAAATCAAACTCAGGAATGTCCGTTAGTGAGACTCCCATTCCCACATATGAATCCACATTCCCACTATCTTCTACTTACAATTCCTAGGTATGACAAAATATTTTGGAATAAGTGAAAAGGGGAGAGAAGAGGAGAGAAAGGGCAGTGGAGAAAGGCGGCAAGCCAGTCTGATAAACACATAAATGACAGGCAGAAAACATTTCTATGGTAAAGCTGAGCTGACTGCAGAGGGTGCTTTGATCTCTGTAGTGTCTGGACACTCACAGCTTCATAAAACTGCATTGCATATTCCCTTGAAATCATATCTATTCTTTCAAGAAAGGAATACAGCTGTCTAATTCTCCCTTCCTCATACTCAAAACGAGCTCAGATAATGAAGCACCAATACTGAAGTTTCCAGAGTAATCATCGCAGATACACAACAGCCCATTTTCTCTCATGTATATACTGTCTCTCTTGGGGGTAATTCCACGAACAGTTGATTTCAGTGAGAAAGTAAACCATTGCTTTTTTAGTGTTTGTTCATTCATGTTAGCCTGAGGTGATGCAGACGTCAAACATAATGACTTAATCCAAAAGATGCTCTGAAACCTCTGTGCTGATCAGCTGCCAAAGCAGCAACATTTTTAGGATCAGCAGGTCTTTGATGGGCACAAAAATATTTTGCAGTAACACGCTGTAGAATATTTTAAAACCAACATTAGAATCATTAAATAATTTAGGTTCGGACCTTTGGAGGTCGTCTGGCCCAATCCCATGCTTAAAGCAGGGCCAACTTCAACATTAGATTTACACTAGAATTAGAGACATGGCACCTCAGGGAAGATTTCAAAGAAGTACTAAGAAGATTTTCCAAGATCATCATACACAGTTCATCAGTTTTTGATTATGCTGAAACTCACCCCATGTGCATGCACTGCAAAAAAAAATATGAATGCCCTAGTTTATCTCCCTCACAGTCTTTCTCCCTGTTATTCAGGAAAATAGAAGTGACTTACATTGACTTCAAGACCTTAATGAATTGCTTCAAGCTTCAGGGAGAGGGACAGAGAAATGAGTTCCTGAAGGTTCACATAGAAAAAATGATGATGTTTGATCAAATGTTGGCAAGTTGTAAGGGAGAAGGAAAATAGATTTAATGGAAGAAAAAGGTTGTCCCTAGATACACAGAAGACTATGTACAATGGTATAAAGACTTGTGTTCAGTGGTAGCTGTTCTGTGTGATTGTTCTTTAATCATGAAATACAAAGTACTTCCCACAAAACAGTGCCTACTCAGGACAGGGCTTGAGCTCAAACCTCTGAATAGATTTCCATGTTTTTCTGGTTTTAATTCCAGTTTTAGTCCACTTATCAATTTGTCCGATTAGCTTTGTTCCACTATGCATTTCTGGTTCAAAGTTTCTGAACAATAGAGTCAATTTATCTAGACATGAAGAAGATATTAAAATTATGCAGAAAAACCCAAGAATGAGTCAATAGTACATAACCACAGAAAGTGTTAAGACTTAAAAACTGCTTAAGACAGCTAGAACATAAAATACAGGGAATTAATTTATTGCAATGAAAGGAAAGAACAGTTATGTTCACTTCTAGGCCAAAAAAAAGCATTAACACACACACCCCTCATTTAGCACTGTGGACAATCAAAATGACAAAGGAAACCAAAGAGGCAACCACCACAATAACTGAGAATAACCACCACAAGAAATTTTATAGTCAGATATGACATAATCATGTAGTAAGAGCTTTTCCTCCTGCATAACACAGCCCAAGGAATAACATTTGGCAAACTTCTTCAGCAAATCAGTAACTAGTGTTGAAACAAAGTCTCCCTTTAGAAAGAAATTCAGTCTTCAACTGCTTTAAGTCATGAAGGACCACGTGTTTTGGTTAATATTGAATTAGTTTAAGAGTATACCTTTGATTTTCTGAAATGGAAACAGTGATAAATAAAGACGACAGCTTCCAAACTCTGTCTTTAGGTTCAAATACTCCTATTTTGCGATGTGTTTGCCTTCAGACACATTGGATCCACTCCCAAGAGGTGGTTAGGACCAACAAATGAGAAGTAAAACCCACATGGTGTGACCTCACAACGAGGAATGATTAGCAAGCTACTCTGCATTCTAGAACTGGCTGTGATGATTTCCGAGCTCCTCACCTGTAGGATGTGAGCTCTGCTAACAAAGGCAGCACAAGTGTCTTCAGCAGAAGTTTAGTTACAATACAGAAAATATTAAGTCATCATTTAATACTGAAGATTTGATTTATAGGCTAAAAGAGTAAGTAAATTAGTCTACAAAAAAAAAGGGATCCAAAGTATCTAATATGTTTTAAAAACTAATTATTGAAATGTAACATCACAAGGTACTGAGATATACTGAGTGCAAAAAGGAACCTGCTAACCACTTCATCCATTCTGGGAAAGGTCTTTTGGAGAAGGGTCTCATGACACGTTCTTAGGAAAGCATACTCTGAAATACAGTTGCAATACCTAGATCTTTGTGGGCCAAACAGACTTTGATAGTGAATCTGCCTGGCGTTCACTCTCTCATCCCAGAAGCAGAGTTCGTGGATGTGTCCGAGATGCTCACTGCTCATTGGCAAAGGCAGATTTTCCTCCCAGCCATTATGTCATATATTACTTATATTAATGAGTTGGTTTTTCTTATCCCTTACAAACAATATAATATTACTGGATCTGTTAACTCCATTTTCCAAACACCACAATATAAAAAGAAGTAGCTGAAGTGTAAATTACATGGGATTGTACCCCTATATTACCATTAGATTATCATACTATTATAATGAACAAAACTTGTCTTTTATATCCACAAACACATGCACTCACATATGCTAACAGAAGTAGTCTACGGGGTGAAAAAAGGTCGTTAGCTGCAAGAGTTCAGTGTATTTCATGGAATCATTAATTCATAAACCTTACAAAATAAAGTCTAAAGCAGAAAAGATACAAAATTGTTCCTGAAAGAAGGATCACAAATGACAAAGCACATTTAAACACATGTGCAAAGAATTCGTATCTTCTCACAGAGCATAATTCATAGGACAAAGACTTCTTCCCCTCGTATTACACACATCGTACTATTAAACTAGAAAGTGTAGAGGACAAGCATTTGTGTTAGTTAAAATTTCCTTTAAAATTAAGGCACACACTGGCCGGTAACCACTGAACAAATTTGACGATGCAAACAGCAGCACAGTTGTAAGCTATTCAGTAAAGAATTGGTGATAAGACAATACAATAATCCCAAAATGATTGTGACTAGTGACTATGAATGCCAAGCTGTAAGACAAGCTCCTTTTAAGTACGTCACATTCGATTCTGAAAATAGAGGTACCCAAATCATTTTTCACTTCTGAAAAATCATTCACTGTTAATTTTTAATAACGTGACTCATACCGCATTTATGGAATGACCTGAGTAGTTTTATCTGATAACTTCTTAATGTAACATAGCTTAATCACGGTTCATGGAATTTATAGCTAATGCTACATGCTTTTGTATTCTTTGAGTTTGTTTTAGGGATCCTAACAGTGTGTTTGCACAAACATCTTCCCTGTTTCACTGGGAGAAGCAGCCAGCATCCTGCAAACAGTGCATTTGTACTTGAAGAATTTGTTGCTTCACCCTGTCAGATTCAAGCATCCAGTTTCTATAGCGTCAGTTATAATCCAAATGAAAGAAAGCAAAAACCTAATCAAAGGATGGAGCAAATAAAACAAAGTAGTGAAATGCCTGCTTTCTACTATTCAAAGACCCAGAATAAGAACTTCCAGTCAAACTTGTCCAACTTCCAGAAGAAGCAGCTTTGCAGGATTTTGAAAGAAGAGAAAAGGGACTTCAAGAAGGAAAGTAAAGCCTTGTACAAAGCTGTCATGGTTTAATCTCAGTTGGCAACTGAGCACCACACAGCCGCTCGCTCACTCCCCTCCCCGGCCCCGGTGGGATGGGGGAGAGAATTGGAAGAGTAGAAGTGAGAAAAACTCGTGGGCTGAGATAAAAACAGTTTAATAATCAAAATAAAATAATAATAACAACAACAATAATAATAATAATGTAATTAATAATAATAATAATAGGCAAAGCAAGTGATGCACAGTGCAATTGCTCACCACCCGCTGACCAATTCCCCATTATGCACTGAGCATGACGTCCCATGGTATGGAATGTCCCTTTGGCCAGTTTGGCTCTGCCCCCTCCCAGCTTCTTGTGCACCTCCAGCCTTCTCAGTCGGTAGAGCATGGGAAGCTGGAAAGTCCTTGACTAGTGTAAGCACTGCTCAGCAACAACTAAAACATTGGTGCGTTATCAACATGATTCTCATCCTAAATCCAAAACACAGCACTGTACCAGCTACTAGGAAGGGAATTAACTCTATCCCTGCTGAAACCAGAACAAAAGCCAATAAGAATTTCCATTAAGAGATCAAAGCCTTTCAGGAGGAGACCAAAGCCAAAGCCTTATGGAAGGAAATAAAGATCTTCCAGGAAAAGAACGAGGCTTGCATGGAAGAGATCAAGAATGTTTTAGAAGAGAGCAACAGCTTCCTACAGAAGATTAGGGACTTCCAGATGAAAAAAAAAAAAGTTTTCCAGGAACAAGTTGGTAGCATTCAGGAAAAGCTTGAAGAATTCTGGAAGAAAATGAAGGCTGTTAAGGAAAAGATCAAGGTTCTTGAAGAAAGGAATAAGGCTGGTCAGGAAGTGGTCAGGGCTTTCCTAAAACAGGATCAAGATATCCAAGAAAAGAATAAAGCTATGTATGAGAAGAACAAAATCCTGCAGGGAACTAATAAAGCTCTGCAGGGAAAGAACAAGGCTTTCTGGAAGGACTATATGACTTTCTGGAAGAAGGACAAGATCTTCTGGGAGAAAGAGTCGGCCATCTCAAGCAGCAAACTGATTTTCTGGGAAGAATCTATAGCTTTCAGGGAGAACGACCGGAAGATTCAAAAGGAAAAAGGAGCTCTGTGGGACGTAGTGGAAGCCCTATGGGACGAGAAATTTTCCCTCTTGAAAAATGTAGTTCTATGTTTTCTACAAGTTCTCTCTTCCAGGAGAGGAGAAACTACCTGAAACAGAAGAGAACAATCTTTGTGGCAATTATGGCCCAGCTGTGGACACTAGAAATGAAACATTGGAGTAAATCAAGCAGATCTGAAGCACAACTTCATTTTCTACCAGAACCTAAGTGCCAAAACACAGATGTGCCTTACTCATTTCACCCTAGAAGCTTGAAAAAGTCGTGATGGAGCTTAAGAATTTTTTTTTTTAAAGTTCAGATTATTGTTTTATCATTATTAATGTGTTTGTTCATTTTTTCTTATTTGTTTCTTATTTCTCGTACCTTGACTTCCAGGCTCCAGCAGTCAAAATTATTAACTGCAGTTCTGTTCTCAGAATGCTACACTGAGATGTGCTTGTGAGTTATGCACAGACACACACTCCAGCCTTTCAGACTGAAATGTGCCTGGGGTTCACTGAGCCTACTCTGGATGGTTCCATTTCTTTTTAAAGTGGCCAGGTCAAAGCAATAGTTTGTTATCTATTGTTATTCACAATTACCTTTTCTTATCTGCATTTTTCCAGATCTCCATCTTATAACTTTAAAAATACTTACCTGAGAATTTCTGAAGTTGTTTTAAATTAAAGAAAATCAAGATCAGCTAGTTCTGTTCAATAGTTTTAAGGCAAATACATTAGCTGTACTTTCCACTGTATCACTTGTTTGAATCAGTTACTAAGAAGAGCAAAGTAATGCAACAACCCAGCCTTCTGTCTTTCCAAAGCCAAAACAGTATATTATACAAAGAAGCAGTGTATAGATATAGCTAGGCTCAATGGCTGCATGAGGTTGGCAATGTATTATCTGGATTTAATTATATCTCTTTATTTTTGCTGCCTAAAAAGCAACACTAACAAGATAGCTGATTCAGCAGCTTCGGTAGTAAATCGATAAAGCAATCAGTTCGCAAAGGCAAATTCTCCTTTTCTATATAATGGAAAAAAAAACCCCAAAACATGAAACAGGAATCAATTAATTTTGTTTCATGAGTTTTCTGTCAACAGGGAAAAGGAGTTAGTTCATAAGTATGATCACTCATACATGTCACGTCCCTTCCACATTATAATTCTTCAGCTGTTACCTATCCATGACACTTAGTCAAACACACGCAAGTTCCTGAAGTCATTCTGAAATATGGCATCTCATAATCAAAACAAAATTTCAGTGGAGGCTGGCCAGTATAAGAAATTGAATTGATGTTCACTCAATAATGTGAGTTTTCAAAATAAGTCTAGAAGTGACTTATCTCAGGGAGAGAATCATTATTGGAGAAACTGCCTGTTTCACAAATTTCTTGATCATGAGGACATCATTAACATGATTAAAGAAAATCTTTCCCTCTCAAATATATTTAGCAGAGAATTTCTCATACTAGTGCCAACATCTACTCTGACTGTACTACTTAGTAAGGACATGGCTGTAACCTTCAGCTTAAGACTGTAGCTGTTGCAGAATATCAACCAAAACCAAGTGAATAATTTTGTTATCTCTTCAGAATCTAAATTATTTACTACATGGACAAGAAGAATAAAGCCCAAAGGAATGCAATAGTGGTGGGTGTTTCATTAATGCTCATCGGCAACAAGGAGAGCAGATGTGATGTCTGACTGAAGAAGATGGTTTGATATAGGGAGCTATAAGCTAGACAGGAACTAGGAGTTAGAAACAAGGCCAGATGTAAATAAGGCTGCAGGAATTGCCCTACAGAACAGTGATATACAAAAAAGGACATTCAGTAAATGATATGCAGGACGTGACTTCTGATTTGACAGGCAATCAGGAAAGAAAACAATTCAATTTTTTAGACATGTTGCGAGTCAAGCTGAGAACTGTGAACTCATCTGTGTAGGAGAGGAAGCTGAGAGAGGAGCTGGCAGACAATTGGGATCACTTCTTTGCTTGGGGAACTGCCTTCTGGATATTCCAGGCTGACACATTTTGCTGTGACATGGCCTGTCAATTTTTGTCACTTGTATCATGTTACATTATCTCCTGGACAGTAATTAAGTTTGACAGAGGAAAACAGTCCAGCTGAAACGTGACACAATGGGGCAGTTAATAGATATGCATATTTGTCAATAGTTTTGTTAAATAAACCTCACTGGCAATAGACTATGGAAAGGGCAAAAGCAAAAAGATAAGAAGTTCTCTCCCATGTAGAGAAATAGGGTAAGTAACTTAAATGGTTGGAACCCTCTTGAGAGTCTCCATGTTTTCATATACAAGAGGGGCAGGTGCTGCTGTTTGGATTCAGGGCACAAGCTCTCCTTAATTGTACTCTATAGGCTTAATTCCTTGTTCCAATGGAAGAGACAAAAGCAAGTAAAGTGGGAGAGTCTCACTCCCTTCACTCTCACAAGCCTGTGTCCCTGATATGTAGCACCAGAGAAGCCATCAACTGTATGCATGTACTTCCCTTCAACACTCATGGCTCTCTTTCCAGGAGAGAAAGGAATGTCTCCTAGCCATGACTCACTGTGCATTAATGACTGCCCAGCCAGCTTCATCTAACTCCCACTAAGAGGATCACCTGCCTTGGGAAACACTCCAGGAACAAGCAGCACTATGCAGATGCAGCTGTACTGGCTGCCCTGGTGTGCCCATGCAAGTGCTGTGCTGCTCAGTCCAGGTCACTGCTCCCACCCCAGTGTAAGCTGCTACAGGTCCCAACAGGCCCCTTCAGTGGGGGAGTGGGGTCAAGAGCGTTGTGCTGAAATCCATTCCAACAGGGCTGGAGACTCAGCATCAAAGCAAATAGAAACAGGTCTTAAAACACAAACCAGTAGATGTATTCTTGCTTTGGACAGGACAAGAAGAAATTACCAGTAACACCGTTGTAACACCATTGTTTAGCTCAGAAGTTCAGAGACAATGGTCCACAGAAAGCTCAGCTGCAGTAGATTGGCTCAGCTCCATAAGCTTTGATAGAACATTGCTAATTTACTCAGTCCCAGAGGAAATCTTGCTCCATGCCAGTCTAGGAAATCGATGATAAAAACAACTTTTTTAAATCTGCTCAGTAATACTCCTCGCTTAAGTAGGATACTAATTAAATCTAGCATATTATCTATTAACTGTATCATAGACATTCAAAGTCCCTCTCATAAGAAAGACATACTGACCACTGAGATGGCCCGACAGTGAACTGTACATCAGAAAGATACAGAGACATAAATTTCTTCAGTTCTTCCTTACTCTTTCTAGGAACTGATTATGTAGACATAATAAAGCTGAGGTATCTTTTCCAGTGAAACTGTTCTACTAGAAAAATAGCTTCTTTCTTAGCTTAATGGATTCGTTCTTTAATCTCTCTCAACTCTTGACCTCCATTCAGATTTACATGTTCTTAACTGGTGCACAGAGCAGCTGGATGCAGTACGTAGCGGGGGGTTAATGGGGAATCCTAAAACATTGTGTTTAGCTTGCAGTATGCAGATAGTGCAATTGGGGTGGGGAGGGGGAGAACCACACACATCAACTTGTTTGCTTGAAACGTACATAGAACTAGACAGATAGATTCGAAGAACATGTTACATCAGGTTTTATCATTGGGTCATCATCATTTTGTTTTTGATGACAACCAGTACCGGGCAAATCCTATAAGAAGCTGAGATGCTCCTAGAAGATGCTAAACATTCTCAGCCCTAACGACAACGGGAGCTCTCTGAAGATGATGGTTGGTCCTGTAAGCGATAAAAGCCAGAATCTCAAGTGACTGTATCATTAACAACGTCACTTTTATACAGCTTAATCTCCGCTATGTAATTAAACAGGTACATAAGTTGTAAAATAATTAAAAATAAGCCATAATGAAGTCTGCTATAAACATTTGTGCTTCAGTGCTAATTGTTTCCATTATAAATACTGTACACCAGCTTCTCCTCTGTGTAACTCCAGTGAATACATATAGTTGCACTAGGGATAAATTATACTTAACTACTTTTGCATGGTCAAACAAAACTTTATTGCTGTGGAGTGATTAAAAATGGTCTAATCTCCACCATTGTTGTCTTGTAGCAAAAAGGAACAGAGTCAATGCAGTATGGGTGTAGGTGTGGTTACATCAACACTGCAAAACTCTTGTCCAGGTATCGTTCTACCCTGGTAATACAGGTATGGACTTCACAGCACTGATCTACTCCTGGACCAGATCTGTCCAGGAGTGGGGATCTGACACATAGTGGAGCTTATTTTAAAAGCTCTTTATCTGACACATAGTAGAGCTGTTTAAAATATGTTATGGAGCTGTATAAGGAAGTATTGCGCCTTTAACCCACACCGAGCTATACTTACAGATGTTCTCTATGTTATTTATCGTAAAGTTAGGCCATAAACAATTTCCTTTGGTTATCTTCTGTTCTTTCACATTGTGCTTCCACTGAGCAGCTCAGCATGGGATGTGTGCTGCTCTGTACATTGAACAAGTAAGTCTTGAAGCTTTCTGGCTTCTTTATTCTCCTTTCTCTGATCTCCGTTTCTGGGATTTCCTTATTACTTGACACACTGTCCTTGGTTTCTAAATGCTTTCTTTTCTCTACCTTACCATCCCCTTTCCATCTCCCCCCTCTTCCCAGATTTTTTGCCTGTATACTCCTTTACAGCTTTTCCTCTTGCGCCCTTGAACTTCACATCACCCCTGTGCAGATTCAGAGCTTGCCCTGCTCTTGCCGTCCCTCCGACATCCTGCACCCGACAAGACTGAACTGCCACTCAGCCGGGAGCAGGGCTCTACTCTTGTCATCTCCAAGGTGCTTTGGCAGCAGGTTTTTTTCTTGCAGCTACTGCCAAATCTGGCAAAGAGGCAGCTCTATCCAGCTGTTCTGGGACAAGCGCAGCTGAAGTTTGCCAAGATGCATGTTCTGACTTAGCAGTACCTTGAATTTTTAAGCTAGGCAAAACATCACAGTAGAAGCAACTCCTCTTGTGACACAGCTCTGATATTTCCTTATCCGCAATTTTTTTTCCTCTGGAAGTTTCTTGACTGCAGTTTGGTTGTGGCACTATGTGAAAC